TTGCTAAAGTAGGAACTTGAAATTAATTGACCTGGTTGATTTTAGCAGAGATGCCCCCCATATCAAATATCATATATTCATATATTTCACCATGGTGTCAGCTTCACAAGTAGCTGGCAGCTTAACCAAGACTTTGTGAAGGATGCAGACCAGTACCCGTATTGAGACTATATTTGAAAATTGTTACCTTTGCTCTCTGTATTCAACACTTCTATTTTCTCTTGACTGTTGTCATCACATCCTGAACCCAGAAAAGAACAAGTACATGTTGCGGTTGTCAGTGTGCCTACAGTTTATCAGCCTTTGCATTCCACTATAGATCTTTCCTCAGACATAACCTGATTTGGACTTCATGGCAAGCCATCCTAGAAACCAGTTTGTCAGCAGCTGAGTCTGAGCAAGCCAGCACAGCTTGATGAGCTCTCCAAGCCCTCACAGTTTGATTGCTGTTTTTGTTTTATCAAAAGCTGAAATACTGCATCATTGTCATCAAACTACTCTTGGTATCACCTTGATACAAAGCCAACAGTTTGCTCAGGCAGAACATGGTGTCATGTAAAGCTTGTCTTTTTCCTCAAATTTGGCATAATGAGAAAGGATTTCAGCAGCAGAGGCAGCAAGCTTCATGCACAGCCCTCTACCACTTACCACTTAATTCTCTCTATCATTTCCAACCTCTGTGGTTGCTTTGTAGATGTTCTGAATACCTGTGGGAAGTTTTGAGTAAGCATTCTGAGGGGCAATCATGCAATGGACTGTCCAGCAATAGGTAGTTATTCTGCCATCAGTCAGATCCTTATTGCAAAGAGACATTGGGGAGATTTTGAATGCGTCAAAGATGACTTTGTTCTTGTTCAGTTTTCAGAACATGATTGGCAACTTGTTCATGGTATGCAGACTAAGCAGCCAGTTGTATTGGCACTTCCAATTATGTCTGCTTAACACACACGGCTAGGCTCTGGCACACTTACACACACATATTGAAGTATCCCAGAATCACAGCATTCTCCAGTTTTGGGAAGGAATGACCAATGCTCAGGTCAATGTATGGCTGTATCATAGTGGGTACATAAGCATTTATGATGGTCGCATACAATCATGTGAAAGAGAAGGTATAGCTGCATCATTTTCTCATTTATGCCCTTTGGTTTATTATCTAGATTAACGATAATGTTGTTGGATATCATAAAGCCCCAGCCAGGAAGTTAGCACTCCTCAGTTGTATACCTTCACCAAATGGGGTACTGTGAATTTTACATAATTGTTTAGGTAACAGCTGCTTTTGGCCTGGGGACTTCCATGATAGATGCTGTTATTCAAAGCTGTACTTGACTGAGTTTGACACGGAGTTTGTTGAACACTAAATATGTATAATTCTGATTTTGTAGCTCTTTAGTTTATGGTCTGTTCTCTTGATTTGAAATTGTTTTCAAACAATATGGCTACATTATGCTTGAGTAATGGCATTATTTTGGCTTTAGACATAATGGTAATCAGAATTAAATGTCTGCATCAGAATCATACAAAGAGGATGTTTTGTTTAGTTCAGTTTTGTTTTTGCTGGTACACAGCATAAGGCATTGACAAAAACATCTCTAATAGCTGTCTTAGTAGTAGGCAGGACAAAAATGATATAGGCAGAATGACATGCTTGATGTCAGCTGAAGCAAAGAATAGCTCTTTCAATTGCTCTTCATTAACTCCTTAAGAGATCTAAGCCATAGTTTAATTGATTTTGTTTCAGATTGTTCTAAAAATGCGTTGTAAAAATCCAATGCTAGTATTATAAATCTGAAAATTAAGACTATAAGCAGCATGTAAAATTGTGAGGAACTACATAATTTTAAAACACAAACTTTGAGGAATTGTTCTCAAAGCCACCACCTTTTTCATTAAAGCTTTTCTTGGAGAAACCAACTGGATTCTTGATTTCAAAAGATCTATATACCCCAGTGTTCTTTTCAAAATATAATGTGCTTTTACATATAATAGGGCCTTATTTCCCATTGTTAATGTTCACTAGGTTTTCAGCTGAATCAGGAGAGAATTGATTATGTGGTGCTTATCACAGGAGACCTCTCTTGTGGATTTGAACTTTCATGGAGAAAACAAGTAAGGTGATTGCAATGTTTGTGATGTGAGGGTGTCTAGATTGCTGCTGCTTCTATTAATAAGTTAGAAACTGAAATATTTTGTATTCCAAAAAGTACTTATATTATGCAGCACAATCCCAAGGATAGCCTATTGCAATTAGCCAAAGGAATCTTTTGGGACCTTTCACAATGTATTTTAATTCTGATTTTTATCTACCAGGTTAAATGAATGCTCAATACTGTCAAGGAAGCAGATAATTTGGAAAGAATTTCTGATTTTCCCAGTCCTGATGGTGATCTGGGAGTCTTAGTTGGCCCATTGTAAAAATGGGGATTACATGAACTGGGTGTCATTGGAAGTGGGGATCTTAGATTGTGATTCCAGCCCTTCCCGGCTCCTATGTAAATATTACCTAGTGCCTTATTTACTGCATTATCTTAAGCAGTTTATGATAAAGGGCAGTCTATCAGTCACAGTGGTAGTCTCTTGGCAATGATTATAGAATTTTCGACAGCAGATGGTTTAAACTACACTATTTTAATCTTTCATGAATTCATCTTTGAGTTTTCCCACAAAATGAGTAAGTTGTTGCTCTGTATCCCAGTGGGAGGACTGTGTGGTTTCATCGCTGTACAACCCAAGTATTTGTGCAGCATGCAGAGAATGGCATTTTGCCTATAGTATATGTTTTTGATACTGGGTTTACAAATCTATGCCAAAACAGATCTGACTTCCCACCTGGCAGAATCATCCATAAGCTTAGAAAGGTTTAGCAGGTTTGCATGAAGTGCTTTGCCAAAATTATTCCAGTTTCACGATAGGTATTGAAAATAGGGTCAGTGTTAATATTATTACATTGTGATGCTTTCTGTTGCAAGATTAATAGAACACAGAAGACCTTTGATAAAAATATCTATGAAAGAAGCCTATATTACAAATGAAAAACATTGTAATGGGGCAAATTATCTCTCATTTGATTCTAATGGGGTAGCTTCAGGGGTGATTCTAGTCCAATTTGTTAGTTAAGGATTAAGTACATCTCAAATTGAAAAGCACCTTGCAGACTGGTTTTATGCAATTTATAAATTAGACCATCTATTGTGGCTTTAGTGTTTTCTTATATGCTGTATTATTTAGACACTTGTAAATGTCCAATAGCAATGACTTTGCTCATAAAACAAATGCAACTTTAATTTTTTTTGAGAGAGAAAAATACCTACTATATCGTGTCTCTGCAACTGCCATAAATCTTTATAAATTGCATCATTTCAAAATGTAGACTTGGGAATTTAAGATAGAGCTGTAGCTGAAAACAACTCTATTTTGCCCAGTGTGTGTTTTTATTTATTTAATTCCATTTACTTGACAGGAAAACCACACGAGATTAGAGCTTGTTTTTTTGCTTCACCTATGGGCTATCAGTTTATACATGCATTGAAATAACAGTTATTTAAGCCAACATGCTTACATCACTTTTCGAATATAAGCAAGCTACAATTATGAGAATAACCTATATCAGTGCATGCATGTGTATGCATGTGAGCATGTACACGTGCTCACACAGAATTGTTTGTGTTGCAAGTATAGGAGCATACATGTGTAATTAGAATTTTAAACCACTAATATAGACTGCTGCTCTTTAAACTGTAGGTACAGTACAGTAATATGTTCCATGAACTGTGAGAAAATTATGGAAAAGTCACCTTGTCTTACTGGCCATTATTTTTTTCAATTTGAGCACAAACTGGATTTTATTATAATGGATAATTAAATGCCCTAATGTTGTGATGTCTTTAAGAACATTTTATATAGCAACTTTCATCCAAAGTGATCTGGTATTAATTTACAAACCAATTATATGCAGGAGCTATGTCTAGAATGGGATGCAGCCATTATTTAAAAAACAAACAGCAATCCTGGTAAACAGTTTAAGACTTGTGAAGACATTGTTAGCTGACTGAAACAGCAGAGGGAATTTTAGTTTGACAGAATTTAATTAACCAAATTGGAGTTTAGCTATAAAGGTGCTGCACACACTATTATTTAAAAAAAAGTCACACATACCATATGAAAATATATCCTGAGTGTGTTAAATAACTAACTATGTGCATTTGGGATCATTTTTTTAAGAGAGACACTCTGCAAGTGGCTATTATTAAAGAAGATTTCAGTGGAATAATTTTTCACTGAATTGTTGCAGAATAAGACCTAATATTGTATCCATTTTTTCAACAATAAATCTGTTTAGTATTGTGGCTGAGTTGGTGCATCATGAATAAAACGACCCTCCTTTTGCCTTTAAACTGTTTTTTTTTTCTCCACAAAGTCTGTAGTAGACAAAACCTTGAAGTTCTGAGCTCCACTACATGAGGTATCAGACATGAATACTTTTTATTGGAGTCTATTTTATATGGTCTAGCTTTCTTTTGGCAAATTCGTATATCTAAAAGTCACCCTGCAGCTCTATACACTGAAGCCCACTTTGGTTTTATGCCAGCTTTAATGAACAAGGTTAACAATAAAAGGTTTTGAACTGGTTAGATAACAGAATTATATGTTAAGCTCACTTAGCAGAGTTAATTATTTGTCACCAAAGGGTCTTGAATGGATTTCTTTGACTCATGACACTTAGTTAATCTTTCCATACATCTGTCTATGACCCTTGGGCATTGTATCTTGAAGGGAAGCCTGAACTACTATTGTTACTTTTGTATTCATTGTCATAGTTGAAGCTTTGGTATGATCTCTGATTTAACCAGGAAAAGGCAGTAATGATCTAAGCTGGTTCCTCTGTCAAAAGTAGTTAAGCAGGTAATGAAGTTCATTTCGCTGTGCTAAAACCTCACCAAATCAGAGACTTACTTCCTATGTTTCTACATGGGATTTAACAGCATGCATTTTTGATCACAGGTGGCTGTAAGGGTTTGAAGAGTCTAAGAATAAATAGAGCACTCACAATGTGCAAGAGCACTCATAGCACAGGTGAGATCCCATGTGGAGGTGCTTAGTCTCTTCTTAAATGTGTGTTACAAACTGTACTCACAGCTTTGTCATTATCAAAGTCCTTTTGTTAATAGAACAATACTTATCACTACTTTGTTCATTGAACTAAAGATCAGCCAAGAACGGAGAGTGAAATTCTAAAGAACAGATAATGTGTTCTTTGATGGAATAATGTGCTATATTGGTAGATAAATCTGTTATTGCCCTAACTAGAAAATTTAGATCTCAGCAAAGTAATTTTCCTGTTTATTGGAAAGTCACTAACCATCTTTTTAATAAACATGCATATCTTAAAATAATTTTGGAAGTTTTTTTTTTCAACAAGTCATTCATTTTTATACCCAAGGTGTCTTCATATTCTGATTTAACTCAATGGGAGAATGTGGGTGATAGATAAATCCAGAATGTAGGATTGATTATTTCAGCATACTATCTGTGCCAGATCAGTGTGTGGCAGAATGACAGATAGTGCTGAGTGGGTCTTTTACCTTTCACATATCTTGGGTCTACTGGGTATTATACTGGTCTTTTACACTTATATTAGAACAACGTAAGAGTTGCTTGGAAGTATACCATCTACTTACAACCATCATGGCCATTATGGTACTAACTACAGCAAGGAAGCAATGTAATGAAGATTTGTTCTGACCAATTTCTTTCAGGAACACCACTGTGATTGGTAGCAAGGGGTGAAGGCAGCATTGAGGTTTCTTCTGATCATCTGCCTAGCACCAGTGGAAGTGCTCTGCATAGGGTATGTTTCTTTTCATTTGATACACAAACTCTGTGAACAAAAGCTCCTTTCTGTATAGCACTAAATAGCTTCCTCCCTCCACATCACTGGACCATCTAGTTCTGTATTTCTTATATTATGAGATAATTACCTCTCTCCTAAACAAAAATGTAATTTGAAATTCCTCACACAATACCTCTAGTTGAAAACATTAGGCAGTGGGGCTGTTTCTTTAACCCCAATGGGCACATCTACATGTGATGCAACATCACCGTAGCAACGTGCTACAGAGACATAGCATCCATGGGTGTCTACATGTGACCAGTAGCTACTTTGCTGTAGCAGTGCGCTCCCCCGTTACAGCGCACTGCTACGGCAATGTAGCGGCTAAAAATAAATGTGCGCCACACATACAGCACCTTACAGGTAGTTGCTGCAACATGCTTTAGTACTAAAACACGACGCAGTAAGAAAATCTCTGTAGGGCAACATGTAGAGACGCCCGATAAGTATTAGGATTTAATTTGGAATTTTAATCGAAATGAACATTTGTAATTATGTTTCCCCGCAAAGTTAAATTAGTTAGTAGGTTGTGCAGATTTCAAAAAGGACATCTTCACAAGGCAGACGGGTATCTTCCTTCAGCTGCTGCCATGACCTATAAGAAAGCACTCTTTTCATAGGGTGTGGATACAACATCACTATCTAGGTTTTACTTCATAATAAATATGCTCTCTAGTAAGGAATGAGCATAGTACCAGGGCTATTACAGGGCCTGACTCCAAGGAGTTGAGGAAGCCAATTTGCAGGAAACAAACACTGTACCAGGACAGAGAGAGGTAGTTAGTCATGTTAGTCTGAAGTCCAGCAGAAGGCTAGGTAAGGTGCACCTTAAAGACTAACTCAGCAGGATTAAATTCATTATGGAGCTGATCGATAATGTCTTCTATATAGTAACTTTTCCACATAGTAGAGTTATCTCTTGAAAAAAACTTACTTCCATCCTGGATTTGAATAATTTACTATACAGTTATTTATTTATTTAGCGATTACAAATCCTCAGAGCCAAGAGATAGGCTCCTTGTTAACTGAGTTCAAAGTTATTAATCTGCCTCTTAGTTTGTAGAGGGGACACTCCTCAATAACATGCAACATTGCTTGGTTACTATACAGTAAGCCTGTGTCTCATGTGTCTGCTCTATTTTACTACATGGTAAAGTCAATTTACTACACAATAACTGCATCATCTGTCAGCAACCATCGCATTTATTTAGAGTTCCTATTGTATTTTTCTACTAGCTTGGTATTGGGCAATTATAATCCCTCCACCCTACCAAATATAATTAAAAGCTAGTGAATTAACATTGTAAATATGTGTTTGTATATGAAATATGGAAATAATATGTGCACATGACATATCTCTTATGAAAGGTTTCACATTTTTGCCTTTTCATTCTGATTCAGATTTTTTTTTTTAAATATGAAATGCTTCATGAGAATAGATTTTCATACCCTGACCAGTTCAAGGCCTTATTACTTAATGAGAAAAGCAAAGCAAAATAAACTTAGAAAGGCAGCTTTTTAAAGATCTTCTTTATTAGGAGGAGGGATAGACAGTTAGCTGGACTTCCTAAAGTTTTTCTCTTGAATTCAGAAGTTTTAGGCACAAGAACTTTCTTCTTTCATTACTTATCCATGCTCAGCCTTCCTCTTACTTTTATTTATATCTTTTTTCCTTGTTGATTTTAATTAAGTTTATCCTGGGTTACTGGGGAAACAAAACTGAAGAGTTATTAAAAAAAAAAAAAAAAAGCCTCACTGGGCACTCCAAACTCATAATTTAATTTTTAATAGCTAGCAATTTAGCAAAATTATTAAAATGAATTAAACTTCTGAAAGGCATATGCAATATCCTGTTATAAAATGTACAGTGCTTCCTTGACAGTCGAGGTTCCTTTGTCTTGTATCCTGGCTTTTGTAAAAATAAATTAAACATTTCCTTTTTGGGGGAAAAGGCTTTTACAATGTTTGCTATTTATTAAGGAAATATAAGTGCATTTCCTAAAGTAATGGTGGACCTCTCAGCTAAGTAGTATATTTATTGTGTCTAGCATTCTGTTGCCGCTACTGCATTAATTTTGTGTCTTAGCTGGTTATGAAAGATGCTATTGATATTTCTAAGAAATTACAGAAAATAAAAATGATCTACTTATACCCTTTATATGCTGAGATTATATCAGCATGATTGTGTTCTGACTTTGACCAGTGTAAATTAAGGGTATGGTCCCCGATGCAGAGCTGGAAGTAAGAAGAAAATTAAACCATATTTATTTTATATAAAGTGCATACATTTTTGTTTTTGTTTATTTTAGGTGGAAGTTTATTAAACTTTTTATTATTTTGGATTTAGCATTCAGAACCAAGGTCTAGCCAGTGCTTGTTGTGAGTAAAACTGGAGGCTGACTTTTTACGTGCGTGTCTGGTTCTGAGGAACAGAAATGTGATAATGTGTATGTGTTCCAAGTGAAAATTGAGTACATCTATCTCTGAGCAAAATATCTTCCTTTGTTTTTTTGATTGCTTTGGTTTTTTAACAACTGGAGAAAATCACTGAAAAATCAATGTTACCTAAAGTGAAATTTGCTTTTCATTTTAGTGAATTAAGTCACATACTGTGGGCCAAATACTTAAATTGGTGCAAGTCAGAAGTATTCTTGCTGTACTCAGTGATGTTAGGCAGGTGCAACTGAGTAAAATTTGTGTGTGTGTGTGTGTGTGTGCGCGCGCGTGTGTGTGTGCTCACAGAAAAGGAGCTGCTTTTCTGTGAACATTAGTTCTACAGCTGCTGACATTGTGAAGCTGGTAAAAACAGTATGGATAATGTGTATAGCATTTGAAAATAGGGATATCTTTGCTGAGAAATGAAGGTAATGATGCACCCAGTGCAAACTGAACAAAATTCTATTCTCTGTTGTTCATGCAAGTATCAGCTGCCAGAGGATGTAGCAAAGGGGAGTCGGGATGTTTGAGCTTAAGTTGTCCTGTACTCATGGAGGGAAAGACCGGGATAGCAAGAAGACACACTAAATTAAAGTGGCGGAGACAAGATTAGACTCAGTACTTTAATGTATCCTCTTATGCCATTTGGAGTCAGCTCAGGGCTCCATGATGTACTTTCTGTCAGCTAATTGGTGTGATGCTTTCACTTGCTTTCGCTAAACAGACTTTTCCAAGAGTGGCTTATAGCTGGATTTGATAGTAAAACTATAGGCAGTTTACTGGTGGCCACAAGCTCCAAGCACTTAGTTGTGAGCAATACTTGAGCTTTGGTCCCGTGTTACTAATGCATATAGTAGCAATTTGGAGCATGTTGTTATTCATTTATGTATTAAATGCCAACATATGTATCCCAATGCATCTAGTAGACTAGAACCCCTGTGTGTGCAATTATGGACAGATTTTTCAGTCACAATTAGGCCTGTGAAATTAAGAAACTGAGAAACATTTTATAGGAAGCAATGGAAATAAGGTCTTTTGGCAGTATATGAAATGAGATGTTGGTACCTTCGTATCCTCAAATGTAATGTTCCCAAAAGTGAGAGGAAACATTTATGTACAGATACAGATAGATGAGATGCTTGCCTTGCTTTGAGCATATAGATGTGATTATGGTGTTGCATGTATAAATTCATGTAAAATAAAAGGTAAAAAGAGTATATTGATTTATAAGCATGTTTCAATCTAAATACTTGCTCTTGTGTCAAAGATTGGGGTATGTACAGCAGAGCTTCTTTGCCCCCGAGAAAAGTAAGTGCCCTAGAAAAATCATTACCGTTATGTGCGCGCTCCGGCTTGAAGACATTTAAAAAAAATAGTACTTTATTTAAACTCAGCTCACTCCTGGCTTGGCCAACGTCTGTATAGATTGGACACTATTGGGGCTGCTTTGGCTCTTTTATCTAATAGCTGATTGAATCGGCTTTAGCTAAAAGTGCCAAAAAGCCCCACTGAAGGTCCCAAACTATATAGATACTGCGGAGCCAGGTAGAAGTAACGTGCTGCTTCTTCCGGTTAAGCACTTTTTTTTGGATTTGTTAGGGTCTCATTCAAGACCAGATGCAGTAAGAAAGATTAGAGATTCAATTTATTGCCTTGAATAATGCAGTAAACAGAAAAAACAGTGGAGATCATTTTAGGGCTTGTAGAAAATCTTAGCTTAGGTTTAGAGGGAAATCAGGTGTACATGGCAGCAGCAGCAAAAAAAGGAGAAAGGCAGGCATATAAAATGCGAAGTACTTTTCCAGGGGGGAAAGATAGAGAGTTTGTACTTGGAATGAAGATGAGCTATATAATACAGCTAGATTTGGGATTTATGAGCAACAGTTTAAAGGCAAATAAGACCCATTTCAGGATTCATAAAATGCCTATATATAAATGCAAGATGTTCTGCAAGAACTATATAAATAAGCTCGAACCATTCACATATAAAGGAAAACGTGAAATTATGGTCTTAAATGAAATCTACATTGACAGCTATAACTGGGACGTTTACACTAAAGGATAAATAGGAAAATAAAAGGAAATAGACAATCTGCAAGAATCTGTTAGTTTCTGAGAAACAGGATTTAGCAGAGACTAGTTCACAGAAGGCTTAAATCTTGTGCATCATCAACCAAAAATGTTTATGACCCTTTTCTGTTTTTACCTTGTGTCTATGCAGCAACAGTAATTAGCTAAATCCTTCCCTGTCACAGCCTAGCAACAAGAGTTCAGGAGAGAGAGGTCTTCCCTGTGACACTGCTTTCCAATGTAATGGGACTTCAGTGGTGCCATAGCATATTTGCTGATGTGATGTTATTTTAGACCTGAAAATGATGTGTGGGGGTTGCATGTTGTGCATTGCTGTCACTGTGTTTTCCTTTTATTTCCCAGATTATATATTGCTGTGTGGTTGGTAATTTGTTTTCTGTTCCTTGTTGTCTTCCTTATTTCAGGATTGGTAGAAATTCTTATCAGGCATC